TAGATAGATAGATAGATAGATAGATAGATAGATAGATAGATAGATAGATAGATAGATAGATAGATAGATAGATAGATAGATAGATAGGCAGGCAAATTCATTGATGAGGGGACCAGGCCGTCTCCATGATTACTGAATGATGCATGAGAGGAAAACCATCAGGAAATTAACTCGTTATCTCGAGAAACGGTCCTCGTAATTTTGTGATAATATGTCGTTGTCGCGAGGAAACCCTGGAAAATAATTCTAAGCAGAAAACGGCCGCTCTCGCCTTCCGTAGATTGTCTGAGTTTTTGCTACATTCCACGTTATCTAGCATTTAACCATTTTTAGCTTTTTAGCTAGTGTTTTGTTCATGTTGGTTTGCGTTGTGCTTCTGTAAGTTTGAAGTTAGTGGTGTTCTATATACAGCTTGATTTAACTTGTGGTTTTATGTTTGGCTTTAAAGGCTCATGTTTACTATCTTCAGTGTTTTAGGTTTCTCTCTACTCCTTCCTGTCTTATTAAAGTCACGTCTGCTTTCAAGAACACTAATGTGACTGTTAACTTCTCAGAAACAGGCTGTGAACATGAAATGTAATATTTTTTTTTCACTTAATATTTCTTGCTCTACTTTATTTAGTGCTTTAAATGAAATCCTGTTTGATTGTTTAGGTTTAACCTCCTCAGTTGTCGCTGCTTTCAGCTCCTCCTCACCTGTGCCTYATCTATAATCAGCACACCTGCTCTCACTCACTAATTAGCCATTCCTGTGTTTATAAGTTCGCTGATTTCACTCAGTCTTGTCTGTTTCCAGTCATGTATTGTTCAGGATGGCCCAGTTTCAGTTGACTTTAATCCTATTATTAAAGGTTTGCTGAGGTCTGTGGCTGTTTGTGTCTTCACAACAAACAAACCACTCAATGTGACTAATGTTACCTTCAGAGGACAAACTACCATCATGATTGATCTCCAACTATTTATCATAAAATTGTCTACAAAATAAAAAAATATACAAATTTAATAAAAATCTTTCCAGCTAAACATAAACACCACAGAACCTGCTTATTACCTCCATCTGTTGAACATTTTGTGCCTAACTTCTCTCCATAAAACTGCAGGACACATGCTCTGTAGTCAGCGACTACGACTGTCTGTTTGTGGAGGAGGGCAGCAGCGTGGAGGACCTGCAGCGCCTCAGCCCCTCTCTCAGAGACTCCGAGTACTTCAGAGACCTGGAGGGAGCCACGCCGACCTCGCAGACTCCTGCGTGGACAGGAATCCCTGCGGGAGCGGAGAGCAGGAGCCAGCGGGCYGTCGACTCACGCCTGTTTCCAAACACAGACCGTCTGAGCTTGGGCCAGACCTCTCTGACCACACGCTCCCCACAGGTCCACGCAGCATCATTTCCTTCCTGTGATCCGCCTCCAGAGGAACTTCCCTCTGACTTTGTTGTCACTCGGCTCAGTCCTGAGCTGCTTTCAGGYTCTGTCTTGGACTCCTCCACGGAGCCTTCATTGGATTTAGGCCAGAGGTTTTCTCTAAATGGACAGCTGGGATCGTCTGAGACAGTAAAACCAATAACGGGACTTGAAGGGATAAAGGACCAAGAAACGATGGATTTGGACGGAGAGCCCGACCGGGACAGTTTCCCCATCCTGGTCAGGTCCATGTCGACGTCTCGGCGGCACAGCTGGGGGGTCCCTCTGTCGCCCCTCAGCTCTGGCAGGAGGTAAGATGAACAACAGGTGGATGGTCCAGGTTTACCTCAGAGCTCTCTGATGTGTGTGTGTACTTGTTTTTGTTACCTATTTAGGACTGGTTCCAGTATACACACCTACCTTGTCAAGACCAGTAGTCCTAATGGGAGCCAAAGGCTGGTCCTGATATGGTGGAACTCCATTTTTGGGTTGGGGGGTTACATTTAGGACTAAGGTGTTAATTGAGTTTAAGTTAGCCTTATGGTCAGGGTTAGGCTGTAGAAATTACTGGAAATGAATGGAAGTCAATGAACGGTCCTAAAAAGGATAGAAATACAAAGCTGCCTGTGTGTGTGTGTGTGTGTTGTCAGGCTGAGTCTGGATACCATGGCTATAGACAGTGATGATGAGGAGCAGCAAAGTAGTCTCTTCCAGTCCACCCTGCAGCAGTCTGACAGCTGCTCAGCATCCACCGGAGAGGAGTCGGATGGCTCCAGCATGAAGGTGATCCATCGTCACACTCACGACAGGAACTTTGTCAAGTTTGTGATCCGTTTAATGAGTATTATTTCAATAGATCATCAGAATTTAACATGTCAGGGAAAACTTGTCTTCCGTTTTGGCAAAATTTTCATGTTGGTATTTAAAAAAAACTTCCTCTTTCTTGACTTTTATTTGAACAAACAGATCATTTTCCAAAGAACTGAATTAGCTAATGCATCTGCTGCTCACACGAAAGTGAAACAGAAGGGGAACTAGTTGACGTCAGTTTTWATGAATTCTGTGCAAACAGAAAACAAAACGTCACGAATTGCTCAGAGCCAACATCTTTCTGGTCGTGTTTTGCATTTATTAATGTTCATGTTTATCTTGTGATTATCACGAGATCACGTGACAGAAGATCTGCTCCAAATATCGGATGGGATCTGCCAATCCTCAATAAGAGTTGTATCATAGAAATACAACACAACGCACAAATAATAATTATTGATGGAWAGATTTGAGGAAGTTTGTAGAGCACAGGTTATGAGTGACCTATAAACTTTGTATATTAAAATATCCACCCACGCACCATCTTCTGCTTGATATGGAGTCAGATCTCGGGGGCAGCAGCTTGATCAAGTGGGCCCAGACCTTTGCCACAGTGTTCCCAGACCAGAGGAGAGACAGAGGCTGTGTCTCAATTCAGGGGTTCTAGTCCACATAGACCTCAGCCCACGGAGGCCATGAAATGAGACGGTCTAGTCTTTGGATGGCCAATGTTTTGWTGTCCAGTAGGGGTGTAAATTAACAGCTTTATCACAACACGATATCGATTTRTTTGGATGACAATACGATGTTTCTTGATATCACGATATCTGTCATGATAAATAGCACCCCCTCCGCCCCTCACCACACACCCCGCCCATGATTCCTGCAGGCTCTCGGGTGAAACTGAAAGTGAAACCTAACTGTCTGCTGAGATCTCAATATTAGTTGTCACTCAGTGAAGCTCTTTTCAGATTAAAAACACCTGAGGAAAGGTATTTTCAGATGCCAAGTAAACTGTATCATAGTGCAGGCGCGAACCCCGCCCCCCACAGAACGGGATGGGACAGGAGCAGAAGGAGGTTCTTAAAGAGACAGAGGCCAATTTCAAGGCATTTAGAAGAGGAAGTGATGAGAAGCTACATTTATTTTCTATTTAAACATAAAAAACATTTTAATAACAGCTAAAGGTGACATAGATACTTTATTATGATATAGTATTTAAATATATGACTGAGAAACACATAATATTGGCCCTTTAATATATTGATGTGGATCAATGTAGTGTTACACCCCCTAATGACCCCTGTTACCACAGTGTTATGTTTTATATCACGTCTTCAGCTGGAACATGTATTCACACATCTTTTCACAGGAACTACAACTTGACAAAATGCAGTGTGTTATTAAAAAAGYTCCAGTATGAGTACTTCTAATTACATTTTATTTAACATCTTATTGCAGTTGAGTTGCCAAACATGCATTTAAAAACAAACTCCTCAGTCTGGGATGAATTTCTAAACTCCACCTTCTTCATTTTCCTTTTTAGTTTGCTGATGGCAGTATGAATACTGGGAAACTGTCATCTGTGCACAATACTCAGATGCAGCTGATGTTTATGGGGTTTATAGGCTGTACGAGAATGTGTGGCGCAGTGACGTAACTGGCCTACAAATATGCACCACATGGCAGCAGTCCCTGAACTGAGACAGCTATCATGTCCTGAGTTTTTGCCAGGGACTCCTCCGAGTCAGGAATGCCAGAAGTACCTCCCCAGGGAGGCATTCAGGAGGCGTCCTTACCAGATGAACCGCTTCAATTGGCTTCTCTAGATGTGGAGGAGCACCCTTCTCACCCTGTCTCTGAGGAAGAGTCCAGCTACCCTGCGGGGAAAACTCATTTTGACCGCCTGTATCCACAATCTTATTCTTGCAGTCACTTCACAGAGTTTGGGACCAGTAGAGTCCAACTCCCACCCTTAAAGGGTCCAACTTACTACCAGCGCTGAATGGCTCGTAACAACGGACCCACAATCCCATACTCACAGAGTGCCCCCCACAGTGTACCTCCAAGTCCACAAAACACATAGACTTATTAGGCAAACTCCCATGACTTCTTGAGGACCTTAGTGAGGGTAAAGAGCTGGTCCAGTGTTACATGGCCTGGACAGGATCCACATTGTTCCTCCTGAATCTGAGGTTAGACCATCAATCAGACTCTCTTCTCCTACACCATTAAATAGACCTTATCAGGAAGGCCTTACCTACGGTGATAAAATGTTTGTAGTGTAATACACCAATAAGTAGGTCTTTTTTTAGGACAGCGTTTTCTAACTCCCGTTCACCAAGGGCCACGTGAACATTATGTATTAACTTTGATGTTTTGTTTAACTTTGACTAAAAACACAAAATCCCATCCTTTGATTGCTTTGGATTTTCTGCTTGATTTTCAGCCCTTACATGATCAAATTAATCCTGATTGAAGGTACTATTTAAAGTTAAGCTTGAAATCATCCATTGGACCCTTGTTTGATGTTCCTGAAACATAATTTGGCACAAATGTGGTCAATGCTCCTAAGTTCATGCCTCCCACTGCTATGAAAGTCCTTATTTTATGATCTCAAACTCAYCCTAAAATATTCTCTTCCACATTTTGCCTCCTGATGTTCTTGATCGTAAACTTGGAGTACCTTCTGAAGCATTTTGTAGCACAAATTTTAAAAGGGTTTTCTACAACACAGCAGGGTCACAACAGAATCTGATACCAAATAAGTCCACGCTCAGAGAAAGAACCATCGTTTATGCCAAACTGTGGACAGCCTCCTGCCCAAAGCAACCAAAAAGAGCTCAGTGTGATGCAGATTGGCGGCTAATAAAGACCACTGTAAGCAAAAATTTATCTCCATACAGTACCTGCTGCATGTTGGAGAAGTGGATGTAAAACAGATCGGATGATGCACAAGATGATCACGTGTGTTTACTCTTCTCTCAGGCCACCGGGGTGCCTGGCAGGCAGCTGTACTCTCGCTCAGAGATCCTCGCCACAGACGAATGTTCCCGTGCGGCGCATATATCTCGTGTGGTGCAGACGTCCAAACAGGCCGCCCGGGCAGCAGGAGGTGGGGGGTGCGCCAGAGCTGTTATTCATGTAGGTTTGTGTGTTTTATTCTTCGCTGTTTTCATACCAAAGTTGTCTCTCTGTGCAGTGGCAGAGGAGTTTGACCCTGAAGAAAATCTGCACTCTAAAGAAGGACAAAGCCACATGTGAGTATCCATAAGAGCTGAGTATATTTGGAGTAAGTCTTTTCCAGAACATGTCTTCCAGTGCAGGTTAAAGATGCTTTAAGGTACGTGTCAAACTCAAGGCCCATGAGAGCCTCAAAGGCGTATTAATATCTTTTAAAGCCAGTATTGACAATAAACTACATCTCCCAGAATGCATGTTGATTATTTTACTTGAGAAATGATGGTATACCACCACTAAGTGGAGGTACACAAGGTTCAAAAGTAACTGACAGCCGGAGAAATTCGCAAACATCTCTATTTCGCTGCATTTTTGACAGCTACTTTTGCTGCGGCCCAGTTGTAATTGGAAGTGGAAATTTCCCACTTGCAAGTTTTAAATTTAAACTGGAATGCCCTGCCTGTGGGAATTCCCTGTTGGAAAGTGAGAGTGTTCAAAATTCAAGATGGCAGCTACTCACCATAACTCAACAGTGAGGAAAAACTTGCTTCCTTTTACTTTTAAAGGGGGCATGCCCTGCAAAATCTACTTTTTACAGCCGTTAAATACATTTTGTTGTGTATTTCTTCCCGGTGCTGTGTAGATGTCTTTGTATTTTGTTTGGCTCACGTTTTTCAACCCACTCAGTTTTCTTTATTTTCTATGATGTTTTTCGAACTATTGCATCACAGTATTTACAACACAACTGCCAAATAAGGTCTGGATTTACCAACTTCAGTTTTATTGTCTTCATTCTCCTCTGGCTCTGGGTCAGACTCTGGCTCCAACATGTAAGACTGGATGGACAAGTCTTCCMTTGTTTACATATTTTAATTAATTTGTGAATAAACGTTTCTGTGCAGCTATGTAGTCGTAAACCCCACTTTACATAGACCCCAAATGAATGGTTAAAATGTGAAAAAGAAATTGAAAGCATGTCTCCTTTTAATAGTATTTATGTATTTTTTTTTATATTTAGTCAGTCATACACGTTTATAAGAGGATGTGTTTAAAAGTTGTTTCCATGCAGGAAATACCAGGTAGAGCTCAGTCGTAGCAATGAGACGAGGAACATGACGTTTCGTGTTCAGTCAAAGTTAACTACAACTGGACCTCTGAGGGCCACCATGATGCTCATGTGGCCCTCGGGGAGTCCGACACCCCCACTTTAAGAGAAGAGGGATGCAGCTCTTGTTTACAGGACAGCCAACATGTTTTGTAAATTATCCCCGCAGCTCTTGAATGATTCGAGCACATACTGTTCTGTAGTTTGTTTCAGTTACCGAACTCCCACTCAACAGAGGGGCTTTCCCCCCACCATTCGTCTCCCTGACATTTCTGCTCCGTGTCATTCGTCTGCTGTCTCCCCCTCCCACAATTCTCTCGGTTTCGCTGCCTTTGCGGAAACGTGGGCACCTGTCATATTACTCTTGACTGTTGTGTGGACTCAGCCGGAGGGAGGATATTCGTTTCTCTAAATCACAATCTGACGCCCAGTTCCCAGCAGTCCTCTGGTCTCCTCTCCCACCACTCAGTGTCAGTGTTTTGTTTGTCTTAGGCTGATGGTACAGAGAGTTCTGCAGGAGCTAAAACTGTACCATGGGTAAGTAAACAGGGGAGGGAGGTCTGCACGCCTCTGCTTTTTTAGACAAATTTTGACAAGAGAATCTGTGTGTGTGCGTGCAAACGGAGAGCATGCATGATCTTTGCATGAATGTTTTCAYGTGTCTGCTTGATGCACGGACCTAAACCGTATGCCTGGAAAGCATCTGCAGAGCACTAAAAGTGAGATCTGAACAGTTCACAGCGACACAAATCAGCTCGTACTGTCAGATTGCATTTGTTTTCCTCATCTGTGTGCACTTTGGTATGACAAGCTCGTCTCTTACGCTCATTTAAGGTTAAGATTTGGACCCCGTCTGCATGAACTTTCTTTAACTGTCCTCCACAGAGCAAAGCGCAGGAGCAACAGTTCAGACACCAAAGATTCTGGAAGTGTCACTTGGTACGAGTTCCTCTCAAACGAGTAAGTCTGGCTCATAATGTCCACCCAGTGATGATACAGGAAGTCTACAAATGGGAAGTAAATGAGTTTTCACATTATTGTGCACGAGTGTTCGATTAGCTGTCCACAAAAGCAAACATGAGGGAGACGTTGAAAGAGTTGGTGCTGTAAAGGAGTTAAAAGTAGTCAGTATCTTACCTACGGCAGACAGCAGGCACAGTGACCCAAGTTTGGAGAATTAGGGAGAAATTCGTATCGAGTTTCACCAACTCAAAAAAATGTTTCTGTTGAATGCAACATTAGTTATTTTTACTTTCAATTACTTTCAATTAAAACATTGTCTGTGTTGCTATGGTAGCCAAGTGCACTGTGCTCATCAGTGTTTCAGATGGCTGATAGTTTAGCACAAAGCTGCTACTACTATAGCGGTGTGAAACTGAGGTTACAAAGACAACTAAACAACTCCWAGCAGATTCTTCTGATTGGTGGTAAAATATGTTTAAAGGGATCTCTGACTCTTTGCACATGTTGCCTTTAATATGTTGTTATTTCTCTGTTCTACTAAAAGTTGTTTATGACATGAAAAACATTTATGGTAATTATTTCAACAATTGTATATTTATCGGTCTGTCTGTCTGTCTGTCTGTCTGTCTGTCTGTCTGTCTGTCTGTCTGTCTGTCTGTCTGTCTGTCTGTCTGTCTGTCTGTCTGTCTGTCT